TCAAACACACACATTCTCGCGCCTATCACTCTGTACATTAATCAATCATTCGTGCTTGTCACCTGTCGCTCGATCTCATTTGTTCACATTCATTCGACGCGCATTTCGCACTCATTTCAACATTCACTCGCTACAAAATGTTTTTTTTTATATTTTGTCCGCTGCGCCAAGTATCCTAAAAACCGTAAGAAGAGAAAACTAATCAGAAACTTCGTTATAAACCGCGTCTCGTTAAAAACAATGACGATAACTCGATTCGAATGAGTTCCACGTCAAAGATACGAAGAGCCCGTGACGATATTGACCAGACCACGCGGGGATCATCCCTGTCGTAGTATTTAAGTTCCGAACAACAAATAAAAGACTTTGGACGTCGATCCGATTGGCCGCTTCTTCGCTACCGACGCGCACAATTTTCCTGCCCATGGTTATAAATAAATGGACGCGAAAATGAACGAGCACAACAATTTCAACAAACTTTACTCCGCGCGGTTTTGGACGCACGGGAGAAACCAAATATTCCAACATTTTCCTGAAAACTATTCGTTGCGAAAATTAACAAAAATCTAAACTTCCCGTAGGTTCGTTCCGGGGAGAGAAGGAAAGCCTGTCGACAGGAAGGAACAAGTGGACGCGTCACAGAATCGAGGACCGAAGACGATATTTCTGGCAAACGTGGCTGCGTTTTCGGTTGCAACGTAGAAAATAAAAGGAGGGATGCGACCGTCTAGACATCCAGATCCACGCAATTGTCTGGGCCCACTCGTGAGAAAACGACGAAAGTCTTAGGAGCGCAGCGCCTAAGTGCAGAAACGCGCCGTCGGACTGTCCTCTCTCGATACAATGGCCAGACGAACCCCTGTCGAACACTTGGTTCACGTTTTAATGCGTCCGACTGTCAACTCTGACTTTCTCATCATTTTTTGTTCTCCTCGCCAAGCATTCCTCCAGGAAGTGCCTGCCGTCGCACACCTTAACCGTAGTCCAAGCAAAATTGGCCTGATCAACAAAACAAGTAAACGATTAAATAAGTAACAATTCGAATCGCAATTCCCCGTTCTTCGATAAGGTAAGGTTAACGGATGGTCGGTATGTAGGAAATATCCGGGGACTAATATTAAACTCCTTTACGACTTTACTGCTGCTCTTTATTTCACACCTACTTCGTTCGTTTCTCCTTACATTCTAACATTCGTCCTCACATTCGCTCACCGTTTACAAACATTCCATCTATCACGCTTCCTGATTCGCGCTCTTCAAACATATGTACACCCATGCACACCTAATTACGCGCACCATCTCCGCGACTGCCGCGTAATTTGATCTCACAGGTATTTAAAACGTCGAGGCTCTTCTACCCCCTTAACGCGTTAGGAATGCTGGTAAAACGATGACGACGGACCCGTCGCGCCAATTACACGCAACGCGACGTCCCAACATCCGGGCCGAAAAAAAAAAATTAGTGACTCCTTCCGGTTGCGTTGCTGTTACTGCGTCGGGGTTTGTCTGAGCATCGTCTCATTGTTGGTCACGTAGCGAACGGTACAAGGAGAGGGCATAACAGATCTTGGAGAGAACAGACAGAGGTACGCCATGGGCGGCATCTGACCCCCCACGAGCCTAAGCAGAAGATACGCCACCGATTTTTCTGTAAACTGTACATGGATAGGGCATCCGACGCCGCATGCGGCTATTTAGACGCGAGACGAAGGCACAAAGGACCCTTTTGTACGGGCCAACATGGACGGACCCGTGTTGCAACTGGACACCACATTGCACCGAAGCCTGTCTCGTTCGATCGCACGGCCTCGTTACACGCCGATCTCAGCAACTCTAGTGTCGCGCGACTCGGAAAGCGTTCCGTTACGGGATCCACGTTAACCTGCATCCGCAAATTTACCGATAGCGCTGGTAACTGTGCCCCTTTAACTCTTTGCGGCACAGTAATTCAGGTCATAAAATGGACCCATGTTGCACAGGAATTTTATTGCGTTTTAAATCAAAACAAAATTGTTATATTTTTATTAATAAAGGTATCACAGCTATACACATGCAGCTATTGCAAATTTTCGAGGTGGGATTAAAAGTGTCCCACCATGCATTACGGTTCATCAAAAAGGTGGGACACACTTTTAGTCCCACCGTGCCCCAAAGAGTTAATGCTGCAACTACCACCCTACTTGGAAAATAGTTTTTAGTGGGTACATCGAAGGCCTCTGCGTTTCTTCAAATTGAACATTGCAAGTAGACAAGCAACGATGCCGTTAATAAATTCCACAGGTTAAATACTTGTTTATTACTTTACGTTTGCCATTTGATTTATGATACGCCAATCGTTACCCGAGCGCGAAATAAAGGGGCGCTATACGGAGCGCACGTGGTCGGCAGAAGCGTAAAAATTGTACGGCAACGAAGCAACTTTCTAGGACCTTGCAATCCCTTCCTCGATTAGCTGATCGCCGTGCGAATGTTTACGACAGATGTTCCCAAAAAATGGCGCGTTCCAAACGTCCGTATCGTAAAACCAGCCTATAAGGACTTACGCCAATCCCAGATGGAACGATGCTTTCTCTAGGCTGCAGTATTTAACATAACCGCGATAATCGAGTTTTATACGATAGAAAAAATGTACTACATTTTTATCGACGATTGATGAATTCAAAGATATTTGTAGACTGTTTAAATTAGCCGTGCAATGTATGAATGTGAAGTTGAACAAATGAGACGAGTGCGGATGAAAGAGACTCGACAGAGGCAGAAGAATACAGAATACAGAATACAGAATACAGAGTACAGAGAACAACAGAGAATAAGAGAGAAAGAGGCTAAGAATAAGAAATAAAATCAGTTGTAAAGTACGTAGTTTGAAAAGAGTTTTCCTACATGGCATCGCGATAAATTTATATTTACGACATATTCATCTTTGGTCGTCGTCCGACATTTTTACGAAATTGAGATTTTCCAGAATCCTCGAAAGATACCCCGACAGGAAGGCTCCTTGTTCGAGAATTGTTTAAAAATCGAGCAGCGTCTTCGAAGCGTCGGCGGCTTCACACGACGCAGGGGCCCTCCAGACACCGGCGCCGCTTTCCCACAATTAAGAAGGCGCCTCGGTATCTCTTGGCGCCTACCGCGTACACCACACGATTGTACATTCACGCACGAGTCGTTTCTGCGTGCATGTAATCGTGCCTGCGTTCAACGAGACAGACCGTGAAATAATAAATACGCGTGTCGGACGAAGAGGATTAATCGCGTATCCCTCTCAATCACGATCGCGACAAGTTCAATCGCAATTTCAAGCTTCCCAACAACGCGTCTCGGAGACTTGCTCCGAAATTTATAATCTTTGCCGTCCGCGTTGAAGATGTACTTGTGATAACTCTTCTCTATTTCTGATCTCTTTAAACGCGCTACGGGATCGAATTACGCGCCAGTCGCAGATACGGTGCGCGTAATTAGGTGTGCATGGGTGTATGTTTGAAGAGCGCGAATCAGGAAGCATGATAGATGGAATGTTTGTAAATGAGTGTATGATTGGCAAGCATGGAGACAGAGTGCGAGAGAGAGAGAGAGAGAGAGAGAGAGAGAGAGAGAGAAGATGAGGATGAATGTTAGAATGCAAGGAGAAGCGAGCGAAAGTAGTCGAATAATAAAGATCATTTGTAAAATCGTAAAAGGGTTGAAATTAGTCCCTGGATATTTCCTACAGCACCATTTGTATCTCGAGAAATTGTTGCATAGAGAGAAATTTGCAAAAATTGAGAAAAGAAAGACCGAGGATGATCTTTGAAATTCCAGCAACGTGAAGGATTCTCGACGTTTGGAAGGGAGCGTCTGGAATCTGTTACTTTCGACGTGTCGATGTTGCAGAGTTGAGAATGGGCAGCAAGGATGATCTCGTCCTGAGGTTGCGGCGCAAGGAAAACGGATTGTTTCGTTTTCGTTTCCAACCCCGTTCCACGGATGATCCAGCCCCGAAATCGAAACCAAGGGTTTGACGCTCCAGAGTCTAATTTTTTCTCAAAGCAGACAAATGTCGTCTCCTTCGTTGCCTTCGACCTGCCCGGTCGAAAGAGTTAATCCGTCTTCGCTCCGATCTTTCTTCGTTCCAGCGAGGAAATTAGACCTCGTTGAATCGTAGATGGCGGTAATCGCGCGCAAATCAAGATTTAATCGCCGGTTTTAGAAGCATCGTTCGCGGTAAGTTTGGATTGGCTCGATGGTTCAGCCATAGGCGGGTCCTTCCGTCTTCTTCTCCGCCCCAACGTTACTCACCGCGTTATGGCTGTCTCGAGGCAAAAACAGATTTGCCGTCTCTTTAATCGATCCTGCACTTCCGATCCTCGTAATTATTATGCGTCGCAGGCCCGAATGAATTTTTTTTTACGCAAACCGGTCGGAGTCGATTCCTCGCGCCGAAAACTCGAATGGATGGCGAAGCCTCGAGACCTTAACATTTATCAGATTTTCACACGCTCCGATATTACAAGGCTCTCGTGCGTACTTTTACGGGAGCTTGAGAAACGAATAGATGTGTTATACGAATTAAAACAACGGCGTGCGATTCGAAAGACAAATTTGCATTCCTAAATCGTCGCGCAAAGGGGGAATTAAAATCGAGAGAAATGCAGAGCCGACCACCCCGTAGAGCTCGTGCTCGCGGCACTCGTATATGTGGGTGTGCTGGTAAAAATCTTGCGCTGCCACTGGCGCACGCATACGAACACGCAAGACGACCGTGGCGGTGTCCCTGTATCACGGGACCAGCACTTGACTCCCTCGGAAGAGCAAGTCACATTACACGTCTGCCCTCCGGCCTGACCGTTCAACCGTGACCATCCCCCGCGTACGGGAACAGACGCGAACCGTTTGACGTTTAACTGGCCCATAGTTGGTAAAACGATCTCGAAGCAAGTGTCAACAACGTCGTAACGAGCTTGTTCGGGGTTTTATAGTTTCGCTACGACCTGAACGTTAACGCGCTCGCACCCCTTTTATGACGTTTCGAGTGCGATTAACCCTCCGGAGAAAGAGCGGTTCGACGCTGAGGATTATTCGAGAGATTCTCCAAACGGATTTTTTTCCAATCAACGGAAGGATACCATCATTTTGTACAAATTTGTCAAGTACGCTTACCGCGAGTGTCGTTCGAAAAGTGACAGTGGTGTATATCTGTTCGAGATAAATTGTCGTCGCGCCGTGGATTCTTTATTCGATCGATCGTCGAAAGTGGAAGATTAATTGATTCGAACGCACGAAAGACACGTGGAAAATCGTCGAGAATGCATTAGAATGCTGGCCTCTTCGATCTCCGGAACACCGTTCAGCGTCCGCGACATTCTTAACGAAGATCAACAGCTAGGAATCATGGACTGCTACCCTGCCGCCCATCATCAGCACCCGATTCAACAGCAACACATGACGCAAGACTATTACAATTTCATCGTACAGGAAAGTCAGTGGGAATTCGAAAAGTTCAAAGAGCAATCGATCCAGTCCTATCCCCATTATTCAGAGCTGAACCAGCCTCATCAATTGAATCAAGTCGCTCCGCAGTATCAAGAGCCACCGGTTACGGAAGACGGTACGTAAAGTTTTCGAATGTTTTCGATCCAAAAATACCGATTTTCGTAGGTACTCTCCTTTCATCGATTCCATGGATACCGGCTCCGTTGCAAATATACGTGGATTTTGTTCCAGGTAACGTGGTTACTTCGAGCAAGACGGAACTGCGAAAAGGTCAATCGGGAAAGAGGACGAAGCGAAAGCCGAGGGTGTTGTTCTCCCAAGTAAGTATTTAAACGTTAGATGCGCGCAAAGAGAGCCCAATCCGAGACGTTTATTTTACCACTTTTGCTTTCGTATATTTTTTTTTAGACCCAAGTGTACGAACTGGAACAACGATTCAAGCAGCAACGGTACCTAAGCGCGCCGGAAAGAGAACTGCTGGCGCAAACTCTCAAACTGACCAGCACTCAAGTAAAGATTTGGTTCCAGAACCGTCGGTACAAGAACAAACGAGCCAGAATCGAAGGTGCCGAGAAGCTGCAAGTCCAGAACGCGAAAAACCAATCCCTGAAGATCTCCGTGCCCGTTCTGATCAAAGACAGAAAGCTGAACCTGCAGGAATCGTATAACCCTCCTTATTGGCCCAACATCAGGCCAGAGCTGACGGTGTCGATGCAATCCGACTTTCGAACGAACGAGGTTCGACATCCCCCGGAATTCCGATCGAGCACCGGCGACGCGAGGATGAACTCGACCATCGTTCCAGAGTACAAGCAAGAGATCGGCTCGGACGCGAGCGGAAAATCGAGTTTGAACGGCGATCTGCAACACAGGCAACACGTGCTCGCCGTGCCCGAGTACAGGAACGCTCTGTCAGAGGATCTTCGCGCTGGCGTTCTCGAATGCCAAAGACAAATCAAAACGGAGTACAAAGACGACGAGGTGTCGCCGTATTCGGATATGAAATGCGTCCCGACGGATGGCAAACCGATCGTAGGCGACGGGAGATCGTCGATGGCCGTCGCGAGTACCGACTACGGTTTCGCCAACTACTTTGGCCCGGCCAATTACCAGACGCAGTACGTCAACTACATGGAACAGGTGCCGATGGATCAGAATCTGCAACGGTTATGGTAATGTCTCCCATCTTCTCGCGCGATCGGTCAATTTTTCCTCGATGCCCGAGAACGTCGAAAAGTGCTTCGCGTATTATTTTTATAACTAGGAAATTCTAAGTATCGCGTAAAATAGAACGATAGATTAGTAACGTTACCAAATAGCTAGCCAAAGAGTTAATCGTTTAGGGTGCGCGATTTCGATAACATGCCGCGATTCGGTAGTTTTAAGTTAGAAATAGATACTTGCATGGTAAGGCGACGCGCTATTGGCAGCTGTATTTTCCTTCTTTATGTTTTCCAAAGTAGAGTACGAAGTTTCTAGAAAAGAGAGAAATTGCTTTTTTTTACGTATGAAATCGTGGGTAATGGAAACATCGATTTTTGTTCGTATCATTTACATCGGTATCTACTCGTGACGTTTGTTCGCCCTCTGACAACGTTGTCGCGATAAATGAAATGTAACGAAAATTATATTTCCTCGAAAAAGTTTAGAAAGCATCACCGTTGGTTAGGTAAGACGGTCTCTTCTAAATAGTAACGCGCCACTCGAGAGGCCTGGAGCGGAAATCGCTTCGAGTGGCTTTTGCGGAAGCATCTATGGGTACTTTACGTATTCCGCGGACCTTTTTTCCTTTTCGTTTCTAACGCGTCGTAAACTGGCTCGAAACGTTAGAATCATACGTGTAAACACGTCCGTTCCAGCGTCTCGCAGCGTAATTAATGAGTAGAGTTTGCGATCGGAAGTTTGTATTTCTCGATGTTATGTTACCGATAGAAAGGATACGATCTCAAGCGTACATCGTGCTATTCTTGTCGACTTATGCGCACGACTGGTTGTATAATTGGAATAAAGAATGACAATAAAATATTAAGTTTGAGAAACGAAGAATCGCGAATTCTTCAATCGTTACAATCCGCTTGTACTCTTCCAAATCCAATACTTCCTTTCCTGAAAATATTTACTATTTCTTCTCGTGCGGTTTAACTTTCAATTTATCGTTAAATTTTACTCGTTGCGTCGTAAAATAAAGTAAAAAGAACATTATTCGAGAACTCGGTAAAAATTCGTCAAAACCATCGACATTGTCGATCCAACGATCAGCGTCGTCATTTTCCACGGCGAGCAGCGCGGCGTCGCGAGAAAACTCGTCCTCGGTGCGGTCCAGGTCGATAAAACAAAAATATGGCGAAATGGCATGTATAAATAGGTGAGTTCTGACAGCTTGAGCGAAGCCATGGGCGCCTTTTAGGTTATCGCGCAAGCACGACGGGTCATCTGGCAGTCAAGTGCTTCACATAGACGATTCACGTCGGTGTAATCGTTGTTCGTGGTGCTACTGGTGCCATAAAGGGCCATGGGAACAAGTTGATAAAAATGTCGGTGGTGATATTAGCCGCGGCCCACGTGGGCCTTCCCATGCGCTCACCTACGTTACGCGCGGACCAGCCTTCCGGCTGAAACGGCTCCGCCTCTGTGCACCTGCACGCACCTGCGTGCACTTGTTCCCAGAATCCGGTTCGTCTCTTTGAACAATTTCCAGGAGTTAGGCCAGCGATCTCGAGATACGCGTAAATTTAAACTTCGCGGTAACGCAACAATAGCCTAAGAACGTATTAGGTCGTCCTAAAAGTTCGTGCCATTTATACTTCTATTTCTCAAATTGATATGTGAAACATACTCTCAAGTGTCACAAGAAAAGATAATCTGTCTCATTTCACAATAATTTCTTACCTCTGTCACGTAGTCATTATTCCGTTACTAGAAAATTTCTGTCATTTTTTATTAAATTTCGACACAGTCTTCGGCACGAACTTACAGGACGACCTAATACTTTCGATGTTCGATGAATTTCTAAATAATTTTCTTTCCAAACTTTCTTGCTGCTAGTGGGCGAAGAAAAAAATAATTCGAATAGTAAACGTTCGTTTTTTGCGCTCTTAATATAAATTCCTTCCGCGCTTTCGGACCGAATTTTCTTCTGAAAGCGCCATTAGGGGACCTCGTATTCGCATAATCAATCATCGGACGTTAAACGTTGAAATTCGATCCTATTTGCCTGCGAGCGAAAGGGAACCATCGTGGTGAATCCAAAGGAAGCAAGATGCTGTTCAAATATATACGCGTGCATATGCATGAAATATCTTCCCGGATCGTATAGATTCGTTTGGAAACGATCATATTTTCCTCGAGGCTCATTAATCACACCGAGTTGAATACATTCCTTTTTTTGTTGATTTTAAATTTGCTCGAATGTATTTCTCGTCCGAAACATAATGGATTTCCGACCGGAACGATTACCTTCGATAATCGAGTTTGATTAATTATAACGTAGTTTAACAATACTCGATGTAAATAAATGTTGCGACAGACTCGTTGGGAAAGACGTTCTCTTACTATTGTTAGAACATGACGTACCGATATACGAATGCGCCCAAGTACGTCACAGAGTACCGATTATACTTTCGGCTTTGCTTTTATTAATCTTGCTATATTCTTTCCGATCGATTCTTGAATATTTTTATTTGAATCGTCGAGTACGCTTGTTGATAAATACGATGTGATCAAATACTAAATGCATATATATATCAAAAATAAAATATAAAAACACGCGGTAAAAGAAACATATAGGTATATGGAATTATATTATATTTAATTATATGACGACGTGTCGCTTCTATCCTTTGCTACATTTTTTAAATATTTTCCCCCATTTTCTTGCAAGGCAATTTACTTACGTTAACTTTCAAGATACGTTAGGTTCGACAGATGGTACACTAACGTCAGGCAAAAATTTACCATGGATCTTATACAGGAACCTGCACGACCGTCCGAAGAAAAAGCGGAAATGGATCACGGTTTCTACTTTGCCGACTACGGAAAATACCCTAGGCTTCTCAACGTTATATCCCGTTTCATTCTCGAGCGCACTCTATGTTCAACCGACGAAAGATTTACCGCCGCTTCTCGTGAAAATACGAATCGAATCGACAACACTTTTATTTAGTTTCCGCTCGTGACATTTAAAACGGTCACACGGCACCGTTCTTTTTTCTTTACTCAACTTACAATGATGTTTAATAAAAATAATGAAATATCCGTGCAACGTTTAGTATTATATTACTTAAACGTCGATCGTTAGAATTAAACGGTGTCCACGGAGACGCTAAGCTAAATGAAATTTCCATCAACAGAAATAGTAACTGTGTCTCTCGTTTACTAAATCCCTATCGCGGTTAAAGTCGGCTGCTACAAAGGTCCGAAAATAGTTTCCGATAAACCAACCAGTCCACAAACTACCAGTACCGCTAAAAGAACAGGAACTCCTGATGTCATTTCGTCCGAGGTACGGCAATCGAGTCGCTTAACGAGCTATTCGACGTGTTCCGATTCGTGATCTTCTGTCGACTTAATTAAACAGAGAAACTGAATTCCAAACCTTTAAGGATTACGATCTTTTTTTTTCTTCTTCTGTGTAACGATAAAACAATTCGCAAGAAAAACTTTGGGGGGAGATTCGATGTACGCTTAAAGGCTCGAGGGTCGAAGAGGAAAAGAGAAACTGCAGGGCGCGAAGGTAAACGGAGACGGGATGAAAGAAGAGGAAGGAGAAGTAAATCAGCGAGAGCGGTGGCGGCAGCGTATACTAAGCACTAATATTACATCTCTGGACTGACAGACGTGCGGACTTTAAAACCCAAGACTAACAAACAGTTAGCAGTCATCCGGTCTTCTTGTTTTTATATTCTTATGCCCGCCCATAGAGCGCGCGCACCGCTCGCGGCTCCTTCGCTCCCCGATGTTCGTTACTTTCGTTGTCGTCGAATGCCAGTTAAACCGCAGTCTACGAGTTTCCTGTCGATCTTCGAGGAACCGAGCCATCTCTTCCCTTTTCGATTCGTGTCTTTGCCCTTCGCCAGACGACTAAAACGAGGACGGCTCGAAACCAACCGAGCCGCGACACTTGGACGAACGAAGAAGAAAATTCGCGAAGGAGATAAAAGGAAAAGCGTACGGGGCCAAATGAATTATATATAGGTGGACTACGAATTATACGAAATATAATTTGCCAAACTCTGCTTTAATATCTGCTATTCACCGGCGATAACTTTGTTATGATTGTTTTCTTGTTTGTAAATTTTTGTCTGTCTTGACATCTGTCAACTGTGGTTGTTTATAATTGCTATACTGTATTAATATCATAACGAGCTATGCCCGTATTTATTGAAATAAATAAATAAATAAATGTCCGCTCCAGAAATGGCCGCGCCTTCTTTGGCGGTGCAGGCGAAAGACGCGATCGCGCCGCGAACAGATGCGAATAAAAACCCACGAGTGTTTGCGAATTTTCGAATCTGCTGATTTCGAAGAGTCCAACTCACCGCAATCCGTCGTGGTCTATTTATAAAAGCGAAGCGAGAAAGAACGATTTACGGAGCGGTTACTGTTACGACTGGTTCGATCGAAAGTGGCCAAACGATCGCCGAGCCGAGCCACGGCTACCGGTTGGCCTGGCTCTCGGCCCGATATTTCCAGCGATTGCTCACCCCGGGGGAAAAAGAAATATCCAAGTGGCGGAATCGTACTCGTAAGAAAGCGAATCGGTGGGCGAAGAGCGCAGAGCTATGGGAGGATCGTGGACGGGAGAGGGTGGTGGAAGAGGGAGCCGAGTCTCTGGTCTCGTTCGAGGGTAACTGAAATAAGGTATAATTTTCCGCGCCAATTAAGGTCTTTAAGAATTGCGACCAATCGAGCGGGAGGGTCAGGGCTTAGCTTTAGGGGAGAGATGTACCGCCATCCCCCTATAATTTATTATCGATTAGATCGAATCAAGAAAAAGAGAGCCGCGGCTAAAGACGCGATCAGACCGTGGTCTTCTTAAACGTTGCCACGAGATGACTCTCTCTCCCTCTTAGACCGCTAATAGGGAAATGACGAACGTTTTTCCGGTTCGATTACTCGCCACCTGCTAATTGTCGATTCGTGCCTATCGGTCCGTCTCGCGGAGCAATTTTTCAACAACGTCGAATTTCAGAAATTTGAAATACAATAAGATATCGATGCCTTTGGAAAGCTCGATTCGAACCAACGACAACGAGATCTCGCTCTTTTCAAGAAATATCGCGGAAGGAAGGTGGAATTATTTCCTCGTCGATATCCGGAACGCGCGAGGCCATCATCGGATCAAGTGAGGCGTGATCCACGCTCCTGTGGTTCACACTTAATTAAACCGCCATAGGAACTCGACTGGCAGCACGTGGCGGACAATGCTGCAAGTCTTTAGCGGCGATTGTTATGTAAAGCACACCCTATATACGCACCGCGTAGTTTCCTCTCGACTCGATACGAGACGAAGTACGTAGAGCGCTGCTGTCTCTGTGTCTACGTACATCACAGCCGGAGGAACTTTTTGAAAGGATTCGACACGATTCCTAGGGAAAGGGCTCGATGGTTTTCCACCTACTACCCATGAGCTTCGTCTACGAAACGTCGATTTCACCACCGAAGCGGTAGCTTCGCGGAAACGCCTCGGGAAAATGCTGACGACCTTAACTTTTAGGAACGAAAATTCGTCTAACGAACGACTACGTTGTTTGATTAAAAAAAAAAAAAAGGAAATGTTAAAATTGTTTAAACAACGAAAAAGTCTCGTTTAAGATCCGAACACGCTGCTTCTCCTAAATTCTAGATTAAATTGTCTCTCGACGTTCTTCTAGTTATTACTATTTTTTGCTCGACGTACTCGCAGCTGTGTCAATAAATCATCGTCACCCGCGAATTGCAAGCGAACACTTTCTGGGAGTAGTACTCGGTCGAGAAAACGACGTGTCACGCGCGATACCTGAAAGACGTTTCGTCCGCACCCCTTC